TATATGTCTACTAAGTCCATTTGTTCACAGGTGTGATTCAATTCTGTTATTTCTTTGCTGATTTTCTGTCTGGTTGATCTGTCCCTTGGTGTCAATGATGTGTTAAGACCTCCTGTTATAATTGTTATTGTTTATTTGATTTTTCATTTCTTTTAATACTTGCTTTGTATAACTGGGTGCTCTGGAATTTGGTGCATATATATTTAAGACAGTCATCTCTTCCTCTTTGAGTTTTCCCCTAACCAGTATACAATGACCTTCTTTGTCTCTTAGGATCATTCTTGGTTTGAAGTTCACATTATCTGCAAACAGAATAGCTACCCCACTTTTTGGGGGATTCCTGTTGCATGCAGTATTGTTTTTCATCCTTTGACTTTCAGTCTGTGAGTTTCCTTTTGGGTTAGATGGGTTTCTTGTAGACAGCATATGGCTGGATGTTGTTTCTTGATCTATTCTGCCAGTCTGTTTCTTTTAATTGGTGCATTGAGACCATTTGCATTAATGGTTATAACTATTATATATTGGCTTATTGTTGACATGTTTTCTTCCTGCTGTTGCATCTTTATCTTTCCATTCTGTTTAGTTCTCTACCTAGCTTAATGGTGTTTTCCTATGTGTATCTAGACTGTCTTTCAGTATTCTTTGCAGGGTTGGCTTGGTGTTCATGAAATTCTTCAGCTGTTCTTTGTCATGGAAGTATCTTATTTCGCCATCCATTTTGAAGAACAGTTTTTCAGGGTACATCAGTCTAGGCTGGAAATCTGTTTCCTTTAGGATCTGAAATACTTCACTCCATGCTCTTCTTGACTTCATTGTTTGTGTTGAGAAGTCTGCTGTGCTTCTGATAGGCTTTCCTTTATAGGTGACCTGTCTTTTCAACATAAGAATAAGTATCCTATTCTTATGTTGGATTTCTGGTATGGTGATTATTATATGTATGGGTGTAATGTTATTTTGCTTATGGCTATTTGGAGTTCTGTATGCTTCACTAATCTGCATGTCAGTTTCCATTCTCATGTTTGGGAAATTTTCAGCTATGACTTCTGTGAATAGCCTTTTGATATCATTTGTGTTGTTTCCTTCTTTTTCATTTGTCCCTATTAATCTTACATTGTTTTTCTTTGCATCATCTTGCAACTGTTGAATTGTTACTTCCTGATGCCTTGTTATTTTTTAAAGATCTTTCCTTTCCTGTTCACTAGCTGCAATCTTGTCTTCGAGGTCTGAAATTCTATCTTCACTTTCATTGAGTCGGTTTTGATGGAATTGATTTATTGTATATCTCTTTGTATCTGCTTCATGTATTGTTTGCTTCTTAAATTGTTCATTCAGGGATACTATCTTTTTATTTGCTCCTCTAATTTTTTAACTGTATCTTCTTTAGATGTGTTCAGCATCTCTTTTGTTACTTTTATCATTTCTTCTTTTACCTGGGAGATTTTCTTGTTTGAATTTCTTTAAAGATCCCTGGAGTTGCTTCTTTATTTCAGTTGCTATTATTTCAGGTATTTCAGGTGTATGGCACATATTTTCTTCTATATATTTTCTCCTAGGCTTTCTTGGGATGGATTGGAGGTTTGAGATTGCATTTTGGTCTTTCATTTTGTTATTTTTTTCTATGTATCAAGTGTTTTTCTAAAGCTTCTCCTGGATGTGTTGGGAATAGTCTCCTATGCCCTAGGCTCTTGGAACTGAATGGAGGTTGCTGAGCATGGTCCGGTCAGGTCCTCAGGCCCTCCCATGACACCTTCAGTGTTCCAGGCAGGTAGGCAGGCATCTAACCACTGTGGATGATGAGCTAAAGCTCTCCCCAGGCAAAGACCAATGCCCTGGAACTCACTTCACTTGCTCTCAACTTCCATAATTGAACAAGGTCGCTGGGCATAATCTACTGAGGCTGCAAAACCTCCCAAAGGTAGTCTAGTGTGGCTGAGAGCTGGGCGAGTCCTTGAGCTCTGGGAACAATGATCTTAAGAAGTCTCCCAGGGCTCAAGATGACTTTCAGACTCACCCCAGCCACTAGCTGAGTTTCCCGGTTTGGAAGGTTGCTGGGCTTATCCTGGACGGGCCTGAAACCTGCCGGGCGAGCACAGCCTAGTGTGGTGGGGCTTTGGGCGGGTCCTTTAGCTCTGGGAGCGATGGTCTTAACACAGACTCCAGGTCTCGGGAAGGGGAGGAGACTCATCTCAGCTGCTAGCTGAGTTTCCTGTGCCAGAGGTCACTGGGCATGTCCTGGGTAGGCCTCTTTAATTTTTAACACATAAAGATGGTACTAATGGGGTATCATGTGATGTCTGATCCACATATGTACTGTGTAATCAAATTAAATATTTCCTTAACACTCAGCCCCATAGAATCAAAAACATTCTGAACCATTTCTTACCTTTCATTTACACAACACAATTGCTACCTGTAGCCACCCTCTGTGCAATGGCACACTTGGTTTTCTTAGTCCTAACTGCAATGAAATACTCACTGATCTTTCTGTCTGAAGGTGTGTCAGGAAAGCAGCTACATTTAGGGGCTAGGGAGGGACAGAGAGTATCACTGTGTAGTACAAGATGACCTTGAACTTGTTTATGGAGCCTAGGCTGGCCTCAAAATCAGTGATCCTCCTGTCTCAGTCTCCCGGAGCCCTGGGATTACAGGTGTGTACCACCACACCTAGTTAAAATTTGAGTTTCTTTGCAAGAACTGCTTATATTTCAAATATCTTCCTTTCTTCTTGTTGTTTTTTGACCAATGGACCCATTTTTTTCCTGTGTCCTTCAATAGGAAAATATTTAAATGCATTGCAATGGACACATTTAAATGAATATTTTTCCACATTTTCAATTTATAGGTTGTCTTTCATTTTATGCATTTTCAGTTATACCTGCATTAAACTATTTAACAAATATTCCAAATTTTTACCAAGTCATTTTACTGCATATCTAAGTCCTAGAGGGTATTTTTATGGATAACCATATGGAAAACAGAATGCTGTGTTTCTGACAGCTCTTCCACTCCATTCATGATACCATCTTCAGTTTGAAACTAGACATGACAGAAGGGTACACACCAGGAAAGTTGGCAAAAACTGCAAACCATGGCCTGATTTATTGTATTATTTAATAAATTATTTCATATCTAGATGTAACAACATGAAAGAATATATGAATAGATTTAACTTAAAGAGTGTATGTATATGGTAATTCATTATGTGAAGCATGAAAAACTATTCCACAAAAATGAGCTGTTAATAAAGACAGAACTAGGTGCTAACAGTAAATATGCACTTGGGCACGATGGCACAAATCTGTAGTTTCAGCACTTGGAAGGCTGAGGCAGGCGGATCACTGAGTGTTTAAAGGCTGCCTACGCTGCCTACCGACTTGAAAGCCAGCCTGAACTGCATACTCAGACACTGTCTTTAAAAAAATGCAAAATATATGAACATTTTAACAATGAGACACAGATAAAAAGTTCATTAAAAAATGTCCATCTTAAACCTACCCAGAATAAAACTATAAAAAATAGATTAACACTAACTGTTAGGGAAAGTGTACAAGAAATGCAATTCTCAGTTTTAAATAAGCAAAAGCAAACAACCACTTTTGTTCAGTTAGGTAGTTTCCTTAAACACCTATCCTGTCTCCTGCATTGCATTTTAAGTCATAAGCACAAAAGAAATAACCTAATGCTCATAAATACATGGATAAACAATGTTACATCCATAGGAAACAGCTTATTTATTCATCCATTTATTGTCTTTTTGAGACAGGGTCTCACTGTGAAGTTCAGGCTGGTCTTGAGCTCACTTTGTTGCCCAGGCTGGTCTTGAATTTGCAATGATCCTCCTGCCTCAGCCCACCAAGTGCTGGAATTACAAGCATGTGCCATCAAAGCCAGCAAAATGCCCTATTTAACAACAAAAACAATAAGCAACTCATACAAGCCTTGAATAATTTCAATCACATATCATGAGTGAAACTAGAAAAACATTTTGCCTTAAGTCATACAAAAGTCTAAAAAATACAATGTTATGTAAGGAAAATTAATAGTTGTTTAAAGATCAAGGATATAAGGAAGAGATTTACAAAGGGATGAGATAAAACTAGAGGTGACCTACATATTCATTGTACTAGTTACAATGGTGATTTACAGGCTTTTAATAAAGTTTGCTAACCTAAGATTGACTCCATTTCTTTTCTGATGACTGTAGAGGCAACCTTGCCCCAGTGGCAGCAAGCATTTTTGAGTAACACAGTTCATTCCCACACATGATGATGGTTTGGCCAAAACCCAATGCATTAGAGTAAGTCATCTCCTTTCTCTCTAGGTGTGTGTTCCTGGCCTGCAAAAGTGAACACTACAAAAAGTACACTGGAAAAAAGTACATAAACCTTTAGTTTTTTGCTGACAATGACTTCAACTACAGATCAGATATATATCCCTGGAGATTGTGAGAATTTTTGTGAATATCCCACAATTACTAGAACATTTTACAAGGAACAAATTGCATGTACTTGGCTGCTGTCTCCATCATTCCTTATTAATCCAGCATTTTGGTGCTTATTATGATTCTCTCTGGTGTCTATAATCCTAGAAAAGCACAGCTTAATGAATTATGGGTATCAGGGCACTTGACTCCTTTGCAGAAGCTAGAGCAGATACTGTTCTCCATGGTGCTAGACATTATATGTATCCTCTGTAAGCAAAAAAGCAAAACAAAGAAGTAAACAAACAAAAAAAACTTAGGAAAAAAAGAAACTTTGTCTTGTTCACAGGAACAATGGGGGTTATGACTTTCTGCCTCATGAAGGTGTTTCCTGAGCACACAAAAAGTTCTAGCACTCAATCCACAGCTCAGGAAGCCTACAGGCCAAATTAGGAAAGATAGCTACATTTTTACATTATTCCTCCTGTCTAAGGTACCAAATTACCTCAACTACATCCCCACTCACACACCAGTTGTTTTGAAGACATCTCACACAGTAAATAGAACTCCAAGACTGAAGTAACTTAAATAATGAAGATTTTATTATTACAAAAATCAAAATAATATAAGCAGGTAGTTTCCAGGTTGGTGACTTAAGAGGCTGGAAAAGGGCCAGGGATTTAGCTCAGCTGCATAAGTGCCTGCCTTTCAAGCGTGTGGTCACGAGTTCGATCCCTGGTACCAAAAAAATAAAAAGAGGCTGGAAAGAAATCCACAGTCAGAAGAGCTCTTCTTGACAAACTGCCCAAACATACTTAACTGGCTCTTTAGTATTATCTGGATCAGGTTCTTGCCCTAACTTGCAGAACAGGAATTAAAATTCCGATCCGTCATGACTTCATCCAGTAAAAGGGAAGTACAGGCCAGTTCCTCTGAACAAGCTGGAGTGATGACTGCTGCACTGTATAGATTTGCAGGTGTGGAAGTCCTATGTTCTCTTCCTCAAAACATGACAAATGGCAAGACGTCTGCACAGGTTAGAAAGTTAAACACAGCTGCTTTAAGCTTCTATGGACCTGGAAGTAAAAAAGATTTTCTCCATGACACCTTCACATCTTGAGGGCTTAATTCAGATTGCCAGCTCTCTCTTATGTGCTTTGCACCAGTGTAATAATGAAAGAAAGGTGTGGTCCATACTGTTATGGATTAAAAATTGGTGGTCAACTTAATTCTAGCTGGATTACATCACCATGGTGCTGAGTGTAGATGTTTCACCTGAGGAAAGTTGCCATCATAAACAGAGATGTGGAGAAGGAGAAGGAAGGCATTAATGCGTTGAAGCTTTGAGGCACTGTGGGTTCTCCTCCGTGTTGCTCTTTGATTCGATAGGTTCTCCTGGAGAAGCTCTAGACCTTCCATTGAGCATTGCTTCCTGGCTCTGGAGGGGAAGACATGTGCTGTTTGGTCTCCAGGATGAACTTGTCACATTGGCTTCCTGGCAAGTACTTGACTGTTTATTGTCAGAGCTCAGGGCCTCTGTGTCACTGAAGATGGCTGACTTTCAGGACAGCCCTGGTCTTTGTTGTATGATTTCACGGCTCCAGTTAGAAGCCGCAACCCACCAGCACAGCTCCTTCACCCTGCTGGCATGGACTTTCTGGTTTCCATCACTGACCTTTGGGCCTTCCCCGCACAGATCCATAAGACTAGCATGAGTCCTTCTTGTGGGCTCTAGATCTCTAGTTGGACTCGTGGGAGGCATTGTCATGAGCTCTGTGTCCCACCTGGACCTATGTGGGACATTGCTGTGGGATTCAGGCCCTTGATTGAATATCCTATGTATTTGGATACATCAGTGGTGTTGTGGATAGACTTCCTGCATTTTCTTATGTTAACTCTGAGTGACCATCATAAAAATAATATAAAATCCATGTCCTGATTCTAATTGTTCTCTGCACAAACCCTGACTACAACACATACACAGCTAAGGTCTTTCTCCAGTGTGAACTCTTTGGTGTTTAGTGAGAACAGATTTGGAGCTGAAGGATTTCCCACATTTACTACATTGGTAAGGTCTTTTTCCAGTGTGAATTCTCTGGTGCTGAATGAGGCTAGAACTTTGGCTAAAGGACTTCCCACATTCACTGCACTCATAAGGCCTTTCTCCAGTGTGAACTCTCAGGTGTTTAATGAGGTTAGATTTGCAGCTAAAGGATTTTTCACATTCTTTGCACTTAATAGGCCTTTCCCCAGTGTGAACTCTCTCATGGTTCCTAAGGTTAGAACTATGACTAAAAGTTTTCCCACATTCTTCACACACATAAGGCCTTTCCCCTGTGTGGACTTTCCGATGGGAACTGAAGCTGGATCCTTGCTTAAAAGATTTCCCACACTTACTACACTCATAAGGCCTCTCTCCAGTATGAAGTCTTCGGTGGTGAATGAGGCTGGAAGTTCGGCTAAAGGATTTCCCACATTCATTGCACTCATGAGGCCTTTCTCCAGTGTGTACTCTCTGATGGTATACAAGGCTGAAGTTCTGGCTAAAAGATTTCCCACATTCACTGCATTCATAAGGTTCTTCTCCAGTGTGAACTCTCTGATGTAGAATGAGGTTGGATCTTTGGCTAAAAAATTTACCACATTCCCCACACTCATAAGGTCTTTCTTCAATGTGAATTTTCCTATGGCTGTTGAGGCTGTAGATATCATGGAAAGATTTCCCACATTCATCACACTCATAAGGCCTTTCTCCAGTGTGAACTCTCTGATGGATAATGAAGCTGGAATAGTAGGTAAAGAATTTTCCACACTCAATGCATTCGTAAGGCCTGTCTTCATTGTAGATTTTCTGGTGCTGAATCAGATTACATCTTCGTGTACAGACTTTCCCACACTTGCTGCACTCAAAAAGCCTTTTCCTGGTGAGGATGCCCTGGTCCTGCACCAATGTGTTTGTGTCACTGAAGGTTTTTTTGCATTTTCCTGAGTTATGATGACTTTTCCCACTGGGAAAGGCCATCTGGTAGTTACTTGGTTTCTTCCCTGTGTGAATCCTTTGTGGATAGGAAAATCTCATGCGGGCCAGGAAATCCTTCTCAACTCCTTTGCAAATAAAAGGCTTCCCTGACACATGGACCATGCAGCTCTTTATAAATGAGTGTCTGTCCACAAAGCTTCGAAAGGGTATCTCTTTAAGGGGCTGCCTTTGGTGCTGGGGAAGATTATCAACAAAGTAGAACTGCTTCCCACACCTGTATGGATTTTTCCCACAATGTGTTTCATGGTGCTGAGGCAAGTGCAGCATCTCTCTCAAAACCAGGCCACAAATTTCATAAGCATAGGCATTCTGGGAAGATAACCCTTCTTTTGGAGTCATGACCCTTGACAAGTCCACAGAAAGACCCAACTCAGAAGGTACCACCTCATCTTCCACTCTACATGAACAACCTGAAAGCAAAAAAGTAACAATGAAGTACACATTGCATTTATTAGGAGAGGTCAACACAATCAAAAAACCATATATGATACAGGAAACAACCAGTACATGGAACTATTCTCAGGAAAAGGAAGCTGGGCTTAGGCTATGAAAGCAGCTGCTTTACAAAACAGGACCCTTCAGGTTGTAGAGGACAGCAGACCTTCCCAGACTCAAGACTAAGGAGGAGGCATGGTCCAAGGTAAGAGGCTTGTTCTAAAACTCATTTCCTTGTACACTGTTTTTAGCAAAACGGTATCAGCTGGTAACGTGATGCTATAAACTATACATCCCTACATATAACTCCCTACATATAACTATATTTTTGGGACACAACAAAAGCAGTGTTAGGGGGAAATGTGTGTTGTAAATATATCAAAAAGCTTCATCAATCTACCATAACATCTTAAGGACCTAAAAACAGAGGACCAATTAAATATAAAACTAATAAAGAACTATGAGACAAAATAATTATAATAGAAAAAATACAGAAAAAAAAATCGAGGAAACTGAAAGGTGGTTCTTTGAAACTTACCAAAATCAACAAATCCTTAAGTAAATTAAGAAAAGTGGCAGAATCAAATCACTAAACTTAGAAATAAAAGTGGGGGAATTACTACCAGTACTACAGAAACAAAAAGCCCCCAAACATAGTACTAAAATGACTGCATAACAATGGACAAATTCCCAGGTACACAAAGCCTGAGACTGAGTCATGAAGAAATAGAAAACTTGAATACATTCACAAATAGCAGGGAGATTAGACCAATAATCAAAAACCTGACCAACAAAGAAAAGCCTTGGGTCTGATGGCTTTACTGGTGAATTAAATTAAAACATTTAATAAAAAACTAACACCTGTGCTTTTTGCTCCCCCAAACTATAGCATGAACATTTCCAAACACATTGTGTAAGGCCAATAATACTTTGATTCCAAAACAGAAAAACACTATTCTTGCTGATAAATGCAAAAATTATCCACAAAATACTATGAAATACCTGAATTATACAGTGTATTATAGAGATTATACAGCATGACCATAAGCAATTTACTCCTGGAATATATGAATGCTTCAACCTAAGAAAATCAATTAAAAGAATAGGTAAACAAAAAATACATAAATATACTAATTGCTGAAAGACCAAAAACTTCCTGGAAGAGCAAAAACAAGACAAGAATGCCTGCATCTATTCCACATAATATTTGAAGATCTGATCGTGGTAATTAGGCAAGAAAAAGAAAACAGATCAGAATGGAAAAAAAATTCTGTTCACACGTGACTTGCAGAAACTCTAAAGACTGTACCAAAAAACTCACACTTACTACAGGTCATAAATTCAGCAAAAATACACAAAAATTAGTTGCAATGATTATAGAAATTCTACAGGGATAGAGAGTGGTCCAGGCTTCAGCTGTGGAGGATAACAGACAACAGTTAACATAAACTCTCAGTGGGCTGTGAGACAACTGCCCTCCCCCATCCCCAAGTCCTGCACCTGCATGGTATATCCTGCACTGAGAAGTAGGTGGGGACAGAAGACACCTAGAAGAGAGTGGAGGAAGAGGATAAAGGAAAAGGAGGAAAAAGGGGGAAAAATACATAGATTTCTTCCTTGGCCCAGACTGGTCTTTTAGCGGGTAGGCAGGGACCACCCCAGAACAGGTTGCCCGCAGTGTCATGGGGTTCAGGACAGCCTTCCCCAAGATTATAAATGTGATGAGGACTCTAACAAAGTCTTAGATTTAACAGTATGCAAGAAGACACCACTGGTGGAATTGAGTATTTGGTCATCAATCAGGATCTATGGTAGAAAAATACTCAGTAGCTATCCAGATTCTAATGGATGGCATGACTGGCTGCTGTGCAGAATTTTTGTTTCAGAAAGTTGGAAAACTTGCAGCTATGGTAGGTGGTGGATTTCTTCCCCTACAGACTACCAGTCATAGTAGCTATGTCTAGATCAAATGGAAGAGTTGAAAAAGATGTAAGCAAAGAAAAAGGCAAGATTTAGAAACCAGCAAATAAAGGAGTAACTGAAATAAACAATGTAATAAAAAAATTAACAGAATTTATCAAACAGAACACTGTGCTAACCAGTGGATTTGTGGGAGGGTTTTGCCTAGTCTTGCATCTTAAGTACATGAATGATCCTTCCTAGTGGATCCAACTGTGAGAAGAGAGAAGCAACAGGGTGACCTCACAGCAGCATACGCCACCAGTCTCCAGAGTAAGGAGAAACAAATCACTGAATGATACCAAATTCACAACTTAGCATTTGGATTTGAAGCTTGACAAACAAGTATCTGCTACAAAACAGCCTGTGTGGTATTCAGATAAGAGAATTCTTGAGCAACACAAAGTTTTCAACTTTTTAAAACAAAATTTGCATCTGTTTAGAAACTAGCCGGTAAGATACCATTAGATATGGATATGAGAAGAAAAAATCTGTTTGATCTATCTCTCAATGAAATATTACCCTTTTTCATTTAAGTAAGATGCTCTCTGTACTTTACAGTGTAGTGCCAATAGTTAAAAATTTATCTAATAGCTTCAGTAATAAGGCTGACTTTAAGACTTGTATGCAATAAATTTGAAGAGCTGTAATGTCCTTTTGTGGAAGGCATTAGAAATAGAACTTCTAAGATAATAATAGATTCTGCTGATATAATATCAGTCCTTAGGTGGTTTTCTCCTTCCATTTCTTCCCTGCATTACTTTTCAAAAAAGGCTCTTCTAAGGAAATACAACATGTTTAAAGTCTTTTCCTTTTTTGAATCTGTAGTTTTAAAACTATCTTTGCATGTGTTACCTTCTAATTTTTGTATCTGTTCATCCTGGCAGCCTGGGCAGAACATATAGCATACATACAGTTGGGCCACTGATTCATTTTATTAAGGTACTGAAATGAAAGTACCTTTTTCTTGTTTCTAAAATCTTAATTATTACCTTGGTCTCTTCTTACTGTCTAAAGAATTGACTTTCTATGAAATCATGAAGTTATAGCTAAAAGAGACTGTTTGTGGCGAAGTCTGCAAGTAAGTACTATGACTTCTAGGCTTTTGGCAGCATTCTGTTTCTTGAACACTAGGACAATTTACCCATTTCTCAGGGCTAACCTCACATACTAAGTCTTTTTGATTTAAATCAAAATCTTGCCAGATTGTTAATTTTGCCCCACAGAATTCTAGATTAGAATTGAGAAAGGGAACAACACGAATTGGAGTCTTCAGATTGGAAAGACTACAGATACCGTAGAAAGACTATCTTTGTTTGCTAGAAGTTTTCACATTACACATATTTTTTTGTTATAAATAAGTAACATTTCGTATTTAGGTTATAGGCATTCTGCTTTCATTTTCCTAAGCCACCTTAAAACTGAATGTGGGATCCATCTTTAATTTCTTTTTATTCTCATTAGTACCTCAGATATAGTGCTAAATAAAATTCAGACTTTCTTAATATGAAAAAAAAACCCCCCACCGGTCGCTATACACTGTAATAGCATCAGAAAGAATAGGTTACCAAGGAATTAACCAAGGAAAACACATATACTATAAAAACTACAAATATAGCCAAAAGAACTAAAGGAGAATAAAAACTAGAAAGACATCATATGTCCATGGATTGGACTAGTTAATATTAAGATGTCTATAGTACCCCAAAGTGATCTATGGATGAAGGAAACATTCATTAAAACCCCAATGCTAATTTTCCTTTTTGGCAAACAGAAAAATCCATCCTAAAATTCACATCAAGGGTCACTGAATAGCTAAAATGATCTAACTGTACTGCAAATGGTAAATGACTGTTACATTTCTGTAAAGACAGACAGATAGGACAATGATGAAGAGTCTAGAAATAATGTCTGGCCAATAATTTTCACCAAATGGGACCAGGTCTGAAAGGACAGACTTTCTAATACATAAGGCTAGGAAAATAATTGTCTCCATGCAAAAGAATACAGCTAGAACTTGACTTCATATATAGTAATCATCTCAAAATGGACCATGATGGGCCTGGTAGTGCATGCACACTTACAGTCCCAGCACATAGGGTATCACTTTAGCCAGAGATCAGCTTGGGCCACACAGGTCAATTCTGTCTTAACACTAATCTCGACAAAATGAAACAAAACAAAACGATCAAAGATCTACATGTTGGAGCAAATCTGTAAAATTCTTAGAAGACAACAGGAAAAAAGCTTTATGACATGGGATTTGTTAAGGATTTCTTCAAAATCATGCAAAAGCAATAAAAGAAAACATAAGCAAACAAGATTACTATGGGGAAGTGGCTGAAACTGGAGTTCAATCACACGTCTGGGGCTAAACGCCAGCCCCACAAACACACAGCACCTGAGATGAGCCATATAAACAAACTGCTCCAGCTCTGAGAACACAAAGCCAGAGGCACACTAAGCAAACAAGTTGTTACACAGAGGGGTGTCATGTGAATGTATACATAAATGCGCTTCAATTTTTGGGCAGTTCTTTTCTACCATCAGGAGATAGGACTCCACCTGACCGCAGCATTCTGAATTCTGACTTTTATCTTTTTTATCCTCCAACATCTGCTCCTCAGGAAATTTGGGAGCTGTGCTAAACATGACAGACTTTATCAAAACAAATTGTGTACATAAAATAATATTATCAGCTAAAAGACAAACCATAGAAGGGAGTAAATATTTGCAAATCACATAGTTTTGATCCAAAGCACATCTGATCAAACCCTACAGACAATTCCAAAAACTTGACAATAATGAACCAAATTTAAAAATAGGCAAGGAGTTGGAATAGAAATTTTTCTGAAGACATAAAAGGGGCCAATTCGCTCGTCTCAGTATCACAAATCTACAGGGAAAGTCAAATCTCAAACACAACAAGGCATTACCATACACCATTTGGATGGCAATTAACCACAGTAATAGCAAGTGTTGACAAGACCATGGACAAAGTGGAACGCCTTGTGCATCACTGTAAGAAACGTAACACATGGTACAGTGAGATAAAAAAAAAGTGTGACTGCTCCCAAAATAATTAAAAATAGAATCACTATGTGACCCACCAATTCCACTTTTGCATATATTATATGATCAAAGAAACTAAAAGCAGGAACGTGTAAAGATATTTGTGCACCCATAGTCACAGCACCATTACTTACAACACTATAAATACAGAATCAATGCCAGCATACACTGATGGATGATGGACAAATATGACAAAGTACATCCATGCAATGAAATATTAGCTTCAAAAGGAAAGGACACAGAGCCTTGTTCTACAAAATAGGATCCTGAAAATACTATGCTAAGTATTTAAACAAGCCAGATGCAAAAGAACCATTGTCTGCTTCCACTCATGTAACGTACTTAGGTCAAATATACAGAGACAGAAAGAATACTGTGACAACTGCCAGGACAATTGCCAAAGACAATTACTGTTAAACAGATTGTTTCAATTTTGTAAGAGAAAAAAAAATATGAACAGTGGTGACAGCTGCACAGTGTGAATGCACTAAATTCCAATAAACTGTACAATTACAATGATGAAAGTGATAAACTTTGTTATACATCTTACCACACATACACACAAAAGAACAAGTGGCAGCTTAGAGGAGGTCCTTCCAACAACAATCTGTATCAGACAGACAACGTCAGTGACATTTTACAGCATAGCTGTGAATGGATAAACGTCAAGTATAGGAAGGGAGAAACACTTGGGTGCATGGACTTAGTTACCAGACTCGGCAAAGATAAGTTGGATGAGATCTCTTAGGCTCACTACAACACTACTGATCCTGAATCTGTACCTTGAGGTTCTGGTACTGTAATGGTACTTTACTACAGGTACTGTAATGAGAGTGCAATAGGCATGCACCAGGGCCACAGCACCTACCCAAGGAACTGAGGAAAGCATAAGTGCCCATGATCAAGATCTCAGGACAAAACTGCTCCTAAGGATGAGAAAGGCAAAATCTAACACACAGGACAAGAATGGGCACACACAACTTACCCAGAGAAGACATTAGTGCCAAGTTCTCCAGCATCACCTCAAGGTACAGGTGCCTCTGGGCCTCATCAAGAAGATCCCACTCCTCCCAAGAGAAATACACAGCCACATCTTCAAAAGCGACACTAACCTGGCAAGATAGAAACTGATGAAACCACTGTTGCTCACAAAGACTCACAATCCTCATCCCATCCATCCACCCTTAAAACCCACTTCCTCCCAAGATACCCAAATCTGAGGAGACACTATACTCTGCTGTCCTTAGTACCAGCTCTCTACATTCATTCACTCTGTTTTCCATTCTGTAACCAGACAGAATCTTTCAACACCTGGTAAAAGATAACCTCTCTCCTCTAATCCCAAATTCTCACTGCCACCACAGTTGATGCCCAACTTCACAGGCACTCCTTCCAAGCCAGCCTCCTATCTTCTCTTGTCCAGTTCAGTTCCAACCAAAAGAACGATCACAGTTCCCTAAAAGCTCTCACATCCAAGGACTTCTGTATCTTGCTGTCTGCACACCTGTGAGAAGTTCTTTCTTTGGTGGCCCTAAATGGCAGCTCCTTGAGCACAAATGTAAGTCCCTGACCTTGGTGACTCTCCAGGATCCTAGAGTCACCAGATATCTGAAGAAAATGTGAGTGGAGGTCTGAAGCAGTGGGCGACTAACACACCCTCCACTTACCTGCGCAGGTTCCAGTAGCAACTCAGTAGCCATAGGAATTGCGGGAACAGTCAGACCACGGACACATATGACCATGGGGTGCTCCCCGAACCCAGGGCGCAGACGCGGAGCCAGGTAACTGGGCCCAAGTCAGCTGTCCAGCCCTGGGTCTCGGTGCCCAAACTAATTTGAGTCAACAGTGAGGCCCCAAAAAGCACGCATATGACCCCATGTCACTATTCTCACCTTCTAGTTCGCTGAGCGGCACTCGGTGACTCTGCGACCCCTGCTTAGCCCATGTCTGCAGGGCCTCGCGTCTCAAGTCGAGGCGGCTGCTCCCCACTGTCCCGCAGCTGGGGTCACGCGGACCTAGGCCCCAAGGTCCTCCCTGTGGATAAGCGAGTCTTACCTGGGCTGGGCTGTCCAGCGCAGCTGCCTCCATCTACTCAGAAGCTCCCAGGGCGGGCACGACTGACCGAGGGCTACCACGCCCAGCGCTCGAGCCCCAGTGTGTCACTGCTTCTCAACGCCTGCCACCTGAAGGCTGGCTGGGGAACTGAATTCTGGACAAGAGGAGACAGGAGGCCCACCCAAAATGACCGCCCGGGAGACGCCGGAAGTCCCAGCCCAAATACACCGGGAGTCCCGCCCCCAGCCTGCGATCTCACGCGATGCTCCCCCCCCCCACCCCCACCTCAGTCGCCTGGAGAGACCCGCACTGCGTCGCCGCGAGAGTTTCTGGGCAATCCTTGCACGTTCCTACTATGGCTATACTAGGGGCCTACAGGTTCTCACCAGCGCGAAAAAAAGACCCTCGCGCGCAGAGCTGTGTTCTGGAAAACAAAGTCTGCGACCTCTTGCGGGATCCTGCGGCTGGAGCAGATGACCCCCTTTCTTTCCAGTCCAAGGACATGGTATCCCTGATTAAAGTAAAATCCTAGATACCTGACTTTTTGTTGTCAGATATTGGGGCAAACATTTATGCCTTCCCAACAGCCAGTTTCGGTGTCATTAGCCAGGAGATCATCAGTGTATTGGAGGTGGGTGCAATCATTGTGTACTGGGAAACTAGCATGGTCAGCTGTAAGGGCTTCTCCAAAGAGGGTTGGAAATTTCTTGAATCGTTGAGGGAGGCGGGTCCAGGTCAGTTGACTTTTGAGTGCAGAACTGGAGTCTTTCCATTCAAAAGTGAAGAAGGGCTGGATAACAGGAGTCAACTAAAAGCAGAAGACATCCTTTAGGTCCAGCACATATACCAGCAGGGGGTGGGTGGCAGAGGGTCAACAAGAGTATAAGGGCTCGGGACTGCGGGATGAAAGTCAACAGTGGCATTCATGGCTTGGAGTTCCTGAACTGGATGATATTCCCTGTTGGGTTTCTTTGATGCAGGTAGATTTACCCTAGGGTGGAGTTACACAATCAGAGGCAGGTGGCTGATGGCCCAAACTCAGGGAAAGAGACTCGGCTTCTTGTGTGGGTCCACCAATTACAATTACAATTCTTCTTCTTGGGAGACCATGACAACAAGTAGGAAATGTGGCTGTTGAACTACAAGGGAAAGAGAAGCAGACTGTTCTGGAGAGATGCTGATGGTGGCCCGTAACTTACATAGGCTGTCTCTCTCCAGTAGTGGGTTTGGAACTCTGGCAAGTAGAGGATTTCATGTCTGATTTGATGTCTTCTCAGGCTGCAAGTTTGTGCATGGCAGAAGGGGTGACAGGCAAGAGTCCCAGGTGCCCCAGTGATGCCAAGCTCTTTCTGACAGAGGGGCAATGGGTTAAGTAACTACAGAGTGATCTGTTCCACTGTCTATCAGAAAAGTCATAGGTTGGCCCCCAATACAGATGTGGGCAGTGGTATCCAGGTTATCCTAGCTAAGGAATGGAGCACATTCTGGCCTAGTCTGAGTCCATCAGACAGATGAAGGAGTTGTCATCTTATCCAGGTTGTAACTTTTAAAGTTGTTATCTTGTAGTCTAAGTGGGCATTTATTTCTTCAGTGTTAATATCCCTTACATCTTGCACATTGGTCTTCGGCCAGATTATACCATCTGATTGTCTACCAGACTCAGTATTCTTGCAGATATCAGATGCTGCTTGAGCAATGAAAGCCACATCTACCATCTGCAGTGGAACCTCAGGGTCAAAAGGAATGTAGAAATTGTAGGCTTCACAGAGTCTCTCATAAAAGTCTGAATTGTTTTTATTGGCCTCTGGATAACAGTAGTAACTTTTGACATATTGATGGGCTTTTTGACCCCCTCTTTGATGCCTTTGAGGACTCACCATATCTGTGAATTACTTTGTGATTTTTTTCTGGGGTGTTGTAATCCTAGGTGGGGTGCCCTTTCAGAAAGGCCATGACTACCCATCCCTCAAGGCTGATAGCCCATGGAGGGACCTCTGCCTTTCATCAGTTTTTGTCCCCTCAGGCAAAATGCAGTGATGTTCCTCAGTATTGAACAGAGTCAGAAGGAGTTGCTGACAGGCATCTTAACTGGACAGTAGATGATGCCATCTGACAAGGAAAGGCATGTAAGGGGAGCTGTAAAGCAGAACGTTCAGAGTGAGGGCCTCTGTAGTTGAACTCATGCAATGGCTGGACTCTGGATTGGGGATGGAGAGGCAGGCCAGCATGGTGTCACATGAACTGGCAAAGGGCTGGCAATGACACTGGTGGCTGGAATCAGTTCAATTGGCTGGAAGTAGATGAGCCAGGAGCAGGAAGAGGAGGGCTGGCCAGTGGAACTGTAGGTGCTGGTAGCAGCCACAGCAACTGATATGGAGTGATTCATCTTCCAAGGAAGAATCAGGAAGTATAGGGTTTTGTGCAGGTGCAGAGAAGATTTCATTTTAGCTCTGTAATCGCCAGAAACCCTCTTTTAAAAACAGTTCTTTAGGATACCTTAGAGAATTGTAAGCTTTGACTAATTAGATTTCATTCTGACTCCCTGCATGTATGGAGTGTTCCTTAGTCAGGTGAAACAAGAGAAAAAGGTGGGGTGTCCTCAAAGAGGACCAGTCAGATGCTTGCCTAGCTGTTGCCCTCTTGGGGATGAAGGCCTGTCCTTGCACACCTGTGTCCACAGTCCAGTTCATGACCTTCATTACAGAGGTTTGAGTTGTCACTGAGCTGTCTGACACCACGGAGCCACAGGACAAGTCCACTTGAACTCCGTAGCTGAGACAGCTGTAGAGCTACATAATTGACCATCTGAAGCACCTAGACTCACTAGAAATATTGGACATTAACCCCATATTCATTCATAGCTTAAAACTTTCCATCCTCCACCAAGAAACTGAGGAGGAATTGATCAGGGATTGCCTTCCCAATCCCTAGCCCTTAGACAAACAAGCTTTCTTCAGACATTTTAGATCTTAACTATAACATTCCTCCCCTAACTCCAAAAAGACTCATGTTCCCTAAAGTTTTAAGAGTTTCAGATTGTTAAGAAGTCCAAGTCCAAAGTCATCCCTGAGATTTAAAGCAAACTTTTATCAGTGGGCCATAGTAAAAATTAAAAAAATAAAGTTAATCACTATAAATATAAAATGGCACAGGGCAAATTTTTCTGTTCCAAATTGGAGAAATAGGGGGGATGGAAATGAGTTGGCCTGAAGCAAAACCTAAACCCAGCAGGGCCAATATTTTGTACTGCATTTCCATGTCCAGCATCTGGGAAAATTGGGGCAAGATGTGAACTCCAAATTGAATAGGCAGCCCTGCTCCTGTGACATTGCCCACTGTAGCCCTATTGTTGTTGGGTAGTTCCTTTAGAAAATAGCTCACCAAACAAAAGTATTCCAGGTCTTTCTTGTCATGAAGAAAGACTTGGATGAAACAAGCCAAAAAAAATGCCAAAAGTTTATTTCAAAATGAAAGGTGGTGGGGTAAGTGAAGAACTAGCTCTGCAGAGCAAACTTGGGACAAAGAGGGAAAATGATAAAAAGTTAAAATCAGAGTGCATCCTGTGACACATGGTGTGCTACCAGGACGGGGGCTCCTCATCGCACCGGGTCTTCTTTATGCCATCCCATCCCATGGAAACCTGAGAGTTTTAGGTACAGGAGTCCTGAGCATCATCTGCTGTCACTGTGGGATCTTAAAACTGACAAGTCCCACCTACTTCTCCAGGGAAGGCCATCCTGGTTCCTTGAGAACCCAGTAGTAAAAATAGTTTCACATTGGAGAAAGGACAAATGCCATAACCTGCCATCTTGCCTACCTCCTCAACATAAGGTAACCGCCATCTGCTAAGTCATCTGCCACTGTGGCCTCAGCTGTGAACATAGGCACACAGATACTATGCTTCCACAGCACACTAGGCCTTGGGCAAGGCCTAATCACAATTTAATTATGCAATGATTTTGTCCCTCTACTCGATTCTTCCAGTCATAAAAGTTAGCAAAGGTCTGCGGCTCAGTGTTCTCAACCAATTTCTTAAGCATGAAATGTTAGAGGTCCTAATAATTTCTTGTCCTCATGGTCCTTTAAATACAGTGACTGCCTCTTCTAGTATACAAATTTTAAAAACCTCATGAGTCTTTAGTGTTTCATAGGGCTCACTCCATTACACAAGAGATTTACTACTGGGATCTGATTGGACCTCCAGATACCTGAGGGGCAAATAGTGGGGAATAAAGAAAAAAGATAAAATATAAGTTACAAGAGAAACAAAGAGGAACCAGTCAACAACCACAACAATCTCATGACTGATTCAATTTTATTAGCAATCAAGAAACATGGGGGAGAGGTAGTGTTATGAATTAAAAACTGGTGGTCAAATTAACACCAGCTGAATTTAATCAGCAAGGTTCTGCTCGTAGTTGTCGCAGCTGAAGAAAGTTGCCATCATAAATAGAGACATGGAGAAGGAAGGTATTAATGTATTGAGGTGCACTGAGGCTTCTCTATGTATTGCTGTTTGAGCCATTATGTTCTCCTGGAGACACTCTGGTCCTCACATCGAACATTGCTTCCTAGTGCCAGAGAGGAAGACGTGTGCCACTTGGTCTCCAGGATGAACCCATCACACTGACTTCCTGGCATGTACTTAACTATGCTTGTCGTCTGAGTATCTTGGTGCCTCTGTGTCACTGAGGATGGCTGAGCAGCCCTGGTTCTTGTTTTGAGTGTGAATTCTCAGCTCTAGCATAGAACCCTCAACCTACCAGCACAGATCCTTTATCCTGCTGGCATAGACATTTTAGCTTCCACCACCATTGATCTTTGGGCCTTCCCAGCGTGAATCCAAAAAAGAGATTGACATGAGACTTTCTTGTGGGCTCTAGCCCTCCAGTTGGACTCATGGGAGGCATTGTCAGGAGCTCTGGGTCTTCATCTGGACTTGACAAACATTGCTGTGGGAATCAGATCTTTGGCTAAATATTCTGTGTCTTTAGTGTTGTGGATAGATTTCCTGAAGTTTCTTGTGTTAACTCTGGGTGACCATAATAAAAAAAATATTATAAACTCCATGTCCTGATTGTAATTGTTCTCCTCCCAACCCCTAACTAAAATGGGTAGCATGTTTCATGGAACAGCAAATATAGAGAATGGGTAGATAAGGAATAAATTAACAAGGAGCCAGATTTTCTCTGTACGCAGATGCCATATTTTGACAACTGCCCTCTGCA